AAACATTGGCCCTGCCAATGTTTTTTGCACCTGGAGCTAGAAAACATTGGCAGGGCCGATAATTTCCATAATTTCCTGATTTTGAAACTATGATCTGGCATCCCCAGCCTACAGAAGCGCAATGTTTAATCCTTTCCCAACATATCAAATTAAAGGGCTCCCCTCTGTAATATAAATATTCCGAATCGTATTTAGTATATAGGGGGGGGGGGGTATTTGTCGTACGACACTAACAATAGAGGGTGTATATAATGGGGTCCTATTGAAACCTGATTGCAGTCCTATAAAATTCGATTGAATCTAATAAGGGACTCTTTGTCATTAAGGCCTTATTTCGGATTATTTGAATCTAGGGCTTTATTGGGGACTACTTGAAATTAATGACTTATTAAAGACCATATCGAATTTGGGCCTTATCAGGGACAATTTCAAATATTCGGGACTATTTCAAATCGGGGCCTTATCAGTGGCTATTTCAAATGAGGGCCTTACTGGGGACTATTCCAGATTTAAAAGTGCCTTCTGAGGGATTATTCCAAAGTATGGCCGTACTAGTGACTACTATTTGTGAGGGATTATTCCTCAAATTAGGGGCTTATTAGGTAGTATTCCAAGTTAAGGCCTTGTTAGGATTATTTCAAATTAAAGCCATATTAGGGATTATTCCAAGTCATGGCTTTATTAGGGACTATTCCCAATTAGAGCCTTATTAGGAACTATTTCAAAAATTAGGGACTTGGGGCGGATTATTCCAAATTAGCGCCTTATTTCAAATTATTGCAAATTACGGCCTTACTAAGGACTATTCCAAATTTAAGGCCTTATTATGGACTATTCCAAATAGGGATCTTATTAGGGACTAATTATGTAAAAGCTAGGGCTTATGAAGACCTATCTTTGGATTGGACAAGAAAATCCTTTATGAAGGCCAAAAAGGGTAGGTACGTGGGGGGGGGTAGCATAAAAATCTGTCGAATTTTAGGGCACCCCCAATAATCCTTTGGTAACCCCCCTAAACCCTAAACCCTAGTATATAGGTGTTTGTCAAAATTATGGTCTCTTTCTGGGTATCCTAAATATTAGGTGCCGTATTATAGTAGGGACCCAAAAAGGGACCATAATTTGACAACCACCCATATAGGAAACCTGTTTGCCGGCCTGAAGCTCGGCGAAGGAGCGCGCAACATCCGCCTCACTTATCATCAGGCTTGTTGTCAAGGTACTTTAATGCCTGTAAAAGGGAATATAGGGAGAATAGAGGAGTTATACAGAGATTTGGGGGGTAATCTAGGACTTATGTGGAGGTTTATAGGGTTTAGGGTTGAATTGCCACAATGGAGAATCAAATTGAAAATGGAATGGCAACTGTGGTTGCACAAGAACCCTGCATGCAGGGATGGCAACAATCACCATCATGATATTGGTATAGAATGAATAATCAGGTTTCCTGATTATGGCGATGAATAGCAATTCAGTCTTTTTAGGATTAAGGCACAGCGCCTAGGTCTACTTGAGCAAATTTCCAAAATCCTCGCTGATGCCCCTAGATCGGCAAACCTCGGATTCTAGTTCTCCAAGTTGGACACCTGATATAATATATGTATAGCTACACTTTCCTCAGCAACCCCCAACTACACTCAACAAAACCCCCGAATAAAATCGTACCTGAAGTCAATCTATCTGGAAGCCTGTGGCAGTCTGTTCCAATATTCCATCCGTCTGATGCAAATAACCATGGAGTTCGATTGGATCAAACTAGGGTGCCGCATGACAAAAGCATTGGATCCTTATCAGAAGGACTGCAAACATGGCAGGTGCCACAATTTCGAGGAACGATTGCAGGAGTCTTTCTCACCCGCCTGCTGCTTTTCCAACTCCGCTCTTCTTTCCCGCTCGGCAGTGTGCTGTCTGCACTCCTCCTCGCCAGCCAGAGGCAAGGAGAGTGGGTTGTATGAAGTTCGGGACGAAGCTCGATGCAGTGGTGTCAAGGGATTTTTCGGAAAAACAAAAAAAAAAAACACACACACACACACAGAGCTGCTAGACCGTCTCCGTGACCAGCACCAGGGATGCATGCTGCAGCCCTTCCCGTCCTCCAGTCGGTTGCAGTTCGCCTGATGGTGCTAAGCTCGAGAGATTCTGGGCGCGCATGGTGTGACCAGACCAGACACTTACACGCGCAGGATGCGAGCTGCTGGAATATTAACCCCTACCATCGGTACTATGATCGAAGGGGTAGTGCCAAATACCAGCTGCAGATGCCCTCATCTCTCAACTCTCAATCTGCTGCCTTCCAAACAAAGGCAAAGACCGAAAGATTATTCTTCCATGCCTCCTTTGCCCCACTGGCCAGGGCGCCGGGACTTTCAAAATATCTGAACCATTTCAGAATGAAACTATCCAAGCCACCTCCTGAATTGTGGTTCTGATTCCTTCCTAAAAAGTGAGAAACGAGGAAACCTTGTTGCAAGACCCTTCTGCTTTCTTCCACCGCAAGGAGTGCTTTCGCGACAAAATTTATTGGACGCGCTTCCGTAAGTGCTTCCGCGGCGTGTTTGTGGAGTCAATGCACGAAATGATGCTTCCACGAAAGGCCTGGGAACCTGAAAGCACGCGGCAAACCTATGTCTTTATGTTGAGGTACTGGGACGTAAAGTTGAGCTTCTTCTACTTCCGCGGAGGAATCCACTCCATAGAAGCTTCCACATGCTTCCACGCGCACAGATTTGTGCTCTTTTGAGCGCGCCATTCCGGGCTTGTTTCCGCACGTGACCCGGGCACGGGTTCGGAGATGTGGTTCGTAGAGGCCTGTTCATTCCTTTGCACACTGACACCCTACATGGGGAGATCTGCTGCACTTCGCACATGGTCCGCACGACTTCCACATGTTCTTCTGTATTTCTTCGGCATGTCCCAGTGTATGAACCTTGCAAAAATGACACCGAAGAATTCGGCAGCTTGGGCCTCCAGACTAACCACCTACACACCCCAATCCCGACACCACCTACACACCCCAATCCCCATACCACTGGACTTGACTCTAAGATAATGCCCTGTACAATTGCACGGCGCGTTATCCTCGTATATCACGTAGACATCCTTCGAGATCCCTGTAAACTGCATGCGGAATGACCAATAAAACCCTAACAAATCTCGAACTGTCACTCATGTTTATCCCTAGCATCCCTTCGCCCTACCCAACGACCCAACCTACCGTAAACCCTCAAGCCTAAGCCCAAGCCCTACCCATAACCCTAAACCCAAACAACCTAAACCCTAAACCCAAACCCCAAAGCCTATGCTACTTAAACCCCTAGAATTCCTATTCCAACCTATCCCCAAACCCTATAAAACACCTAAACCCCAAACTGCTTAAACCCCCAGACCCCCCTAAACCCCAGTAATGCTCAAGCGGACCTGGCTCTCGGCCAGTTGGTCTTCCAGCTGCTGGCAAGCTGAAACCATGGCCTGTGCCAGGAGTTCCCCGATTATAGGGGTGATATTGGGTGTAGAAAGGGTGTGTAAAGGGGTTTAGGGATTAGGGTTCAGAATGATATAGTGAGCCTGCGCTCCAGTTTTGTAGGTATTTCATAAGGGTGATACGAGGCTAAAGGTTTAGGATGATATAGTGATAAATGGAAAAGAACATGGAAATTGCAGTAGCATTGGGGCATCATATGGGATAGTTAATGATTTAGGGCGCAATAATGGAAAATCAAATGGAAAAGATGACAACTCGGTTTCTATAAGGGACTATGAGGGTTTGGCAGGGGTTTCCCAGTTCCAGTAATACTTAGGGATAAGTGATGATAACACAGGAACGGGAAATCTGGGGTTTGCAGGGATACTACAACAATAATGGAGAATCACATGGAAAAGATAATGAAATCGAAGCTGGGATCGTTCAGGGGTTTCGAGGTTCATACTAAACATGTTGCATGACCTTAGTGTAACATGGCATGATTGGGTCATCCACCGCCGTTTCAGTAGGGTTAAGGCTTAGTGTCTTTTTGTTTGTCTTTTCAACGCCACCAGCCTTTCCTGCCTCTAGGGCTGCGGATTTGGGATTGTAGGTACAATCAGGGAAGTCATGGTGACGGGTGTAGCCGCCGCTGCTGTTGTTACTGCTGGTGCTACACATCCCTGTCCTGCTGCTATCATGCCTGGGACGAGTCATTGAATGTTCCCATTGACCGACGACGATGGTGAGCTATGTAATGAATTTTCTCGCAGCATGCCACAATTGGGCTTCTGTAATGCCTAAGTCGTTCGCCACCTCTCAGCTGTCTGTATTTCTTAGTCATAGGGCCCAATGATGGCCTATGGCGGTAGCCGAAGTAAGCAAATACACGATAGAACCTGGAATCCACATGGTCATCAACACGAGTATGGCAGCCAACCTGCCACCTTGGAAATGACATGCAGGCTTGCTCGCCAACTTCATTGCTTATGCTAGGATCAAGAGAATTATTTTACACCATCCTGCGTTCGATGCAAAAATCACCAACTCGTGGAACCACTGCGTCAAGTGACTTCTCCTGAGATGCTGCCTCTTTCTCCTTCTCCAAGCGTGTTGTTCGCTGGTGCAGCTGCTGCACTTCAGCCTGCCCACTTTGTGGTCTTAGGCAGGGAAGAACTATTGCTTCGCCCCCTCGCTTATGAGCCCACTCTTTCTGACGCATTTGCGTCAAAAGTCCCATAACGAAATGCAACATCACAACTTAGCTTTTCTCGTTCGATCTAGCGGTCACAAGACATTGCTTGTACAAAGAACTGGACGTTCAACAACCCTGCTCACGCCCGTGAGCGCGCAAAGAACTGGGAAGCTGCGAATAGACATTGACATAATCATGATGCGATGCTCTTTTAACGAAGGGAGGCGTCATCGCAACGCGCAATTGAACGATGGTGGGGCAGAAGCTTTCTGTCACAAAGCTCGTCATCGAAGCTCCCAACCTGTAAGTCTTTCACCCGCTTCTCCAGCTCAGGCCGCTGCGCAAGTGCCTGCCACAAAACAAAGCCGGCTAGCCCCAAGATACTGATGATACCGCTGTCGAATGCATGCGGCTCTGTTGTGTCGGTGAAGTTGATGCTGCACTCGTACTGGCCTTTAAGGGAGGGCGGGTCAGTTTACAGCATGAAGCTACTTATTACTTTGGCGCTTGCCGCAACATGATGCATCAGTTGATGGGGTCATTATGAACCACCGGCTGTCACGTCACTGTTAGACAATCGTCTACAGCTTGACCTCGTTCTGACGCTCCAGCTCTTCCTTCCACTTGGTCAAGCTCAGCACGTCAGCCTGCTGGCCATGGGAATTCCTACACGGCATACTTGCTAGCTGATACGATGCACAGAAGCTGAAGACTCTTCTTTAAAACTGTCAGATAGCAGGAGTTGAATGATGCTGCTGGGTTCCTCGCCTCAACTTTAGAGGTCCAGGCCTGGACTTTGTCCGCCGCCTCCTGTCAACAAGGATCAACTGTGCATTCCACTGCCAAGCAGCAGATAAAGCATTATGTGTCGATCCGAATCCTCTTGTTGTTGTGAAACATGTCCACTTCCAAGAGTCGCTGAAAGCAAAATTGGTTGCCAAGTCGAGCAAAGCCGTATCCCCAGCAGTCCTCAAGTTGCTTGACGTGGTTTTTGAGCTGGGCAGCTGAACCGTCTTCCTGGCGATGAAGTGGAGAGGTCGAACAGACATCCTCTCTCCATGCTTGGGGCTTCATGCTGCGGGAGAGCACCACATACGGGCCTGCATACACTGAGAGAGAGAGAGAGCTTGGGTCTGGGTAGTGACGGGTAATACATGGTAATACAGTCCGGGCACACCAGCATAGCCGAAGCGCGCAGGTCAAGACCATTTCTCTTGGCCTCCAGAGATGTCCAGAAATACCAGTTTAGCAAATCTGGGCATTGCTTGCAGCTTCGAGAGAGCGCTGGGATTTTGCTGCCATAAGCTCTGCCATGTCAGCCACTCAGCTGGTGGTTCCATGGAAGACGATGCCCAAGCATCGGCGCCGAATCTGCAGCATCCCTTGCGCTGGCCGGGCCAAGGCAACTCAGGGACACCTCACTGAGTAGGCACAAGCACGCACAAACTGCAGAAGTTTGCAGCTTTGCGCAGTTCATGGGCAGGCGATATTTACAAGGCAACCAGGGGATTCCAGACCTTGAAAGTTATCCCGGATCAAGAACTGCCTGGGCGGGGCTCTCCATGTTCTACAACACTGAACAACCCAGCGAAATCCTGATTCATACAAAGGTTCAGTGCTGCAGCATCGAGATGCGGGCCCAACAGCTCGGTGTTTGCTGCAAGTTCAAAGGTGGGCCTTTGCCAAGCGGAATCTGAAACACCAACCCTCTGAAGCTACCTCCAACATTTTGTGATCAAGAGACCCTTCTCCACAGTACCAAAAGCCTACGCGATGGCACAATGGGCACTTGCATGTGTAAAGGATGCCGTTAAAATGGCGTAGATGTACATTGGATACTTCATGCTGGCTGCATTGATGCGGCCTGTACGGGGGGAGCATTCTGAACCAAATGAAGTGAATGCCACTCCCCAGGACTGACTGGGCTGTAAGTTTCTCCAGCGCAGTTGCATCAACCTCCTACTTGCGGGGTTCTGCTACCATCAGCTCACGATTTTTTGCAGAGGATCGTCATCTTTGAAGCTAGGGTTCTAGTTTAGCAGAGCCCCAGCAGAAATGGCTCGTTGCTCCTGAACGATCAAAATATTCCAATTCTCATGCAGCTACATTGGCTTTGCTTCTTGGGCACAAACAAAAGAAGAGCATGACATGTCAGGCTGACAGAAAGAAAGACACTGCTATGATTTAATAGATCTGGAATGTGCCCACCCTCAGAGCGGTCATAACTTTGAGCCTCGCCGATGGCCTGGTGTTCAGTCCTAAGCCACAATAACAGGGCATCCGGTGCTACAAAGCTGATGTCACCTTCTCACCTCCACATTTACTGTGGCAAGGCAGACAACACGCATACAAAGTGAAGGCGAAGGTAGGCTAATTAAATCCGAGCAGCAGAAAAGACAACAAAGTGACGCCTGAGTCAGCTGCTTCTGTGTGGCATTGTTAATATGTCAAGCTTGCCCCTCCAAACCGCTCGCTTGGCCCAAAACTCGTAGAGGCGAAGGCCTCATTCGAGAGGAAACAGAAAGCAAGCCACACCACAGGGTTGCAGGATGCGTCGTAGCAGCTCTGCCCCTTTTAATCCAGGGTGCTCATGTCCATTAGGCGCTCATCGGGGGTCTTCTTGCGCAGCTCTTCCAGGGCACCTTCCATGGCCTGAGCAATACGGACAAGCAACATGAGAGCTCAGAACTGCACGCTGGCCTCCTTGTGCTGCAGCACCTGCGGCTAAGCACTTCCGGAAAAACTGCTTTCATCCCTTCTCTTCCAGAGAACTCTCGGCCTTGTCTGCCACAGCCTCGTTGTGTTTGGTGGCCTTGGCTGAGATCTCCTTCATCTTCTCGCCGCGCAGGTCGGACTGCGAATTCATTGAGATCTGTTACTCTGAAAAGCTGGCCAGTTGGCACCACACACTTGCATCCAAGATTGAGGGTACCTCCTTGGCTGGATCCGAATTGTAGGGATTAGAGTTTATAGTATTTGGAGATGTACATGGGATTTCGTCTGTTTATGGAAACTACCACTTGCATCCAACAGCCTGAAGGCAAGCAGGTTTGTTTGTCTGCTACTGAGCGACGACTTCACAGAACAGAAGCGGGTGATTGCCGCACAAAGTCGCCAAATGCACCCCATGTTAGGCCTCATTGTGTCTAACACTATCGCTTTGGGGGACTCCTGACAGAGTCCAGAGGTCTTAACTTGACCTAACCTACTCACTTACCTCTGGAGGCCTTCTTCAGCAGGGCCTGCTGCAAGCGCTCGCGTGCCTCCTCCGCTGTCATTTCACCTTGCAGGGCAGGCGAACCAGAATTCTCATCCACGCAGCATGCGCATACGGTGCACATGTGTTCATTTCCAAAAATCATCTGCCCAGGCCGGAGGCCCAGGGCATTCTAGGGACCCACTCCCAGGACGCCCCCTACCCAGGAGTCAGCACTCGATTAAAGCGGGTCTGCACATGCATCAGCGATGAGACGATACCTATGAGGAACATTGAGGAACACATATATAGACATATTCCGGAAGTACTCTATGTGGGTACCGATGCCACATGTGGCCGTTGCCTGAACACATGGAATGGCAGACTGGAGTCTGAAGTGCAGACCGCCAAACCCGTTAGACTGTCGGTCCTCTTGCAGTAGCAGACTTACCTTCCTTACCGCATTCGCACTGAGAGCTTGGGCTGAAGGGTGAGGATGCAAACTATGAGTCATCATGTATGGCAAGTTAGTGCGCCTCTCTGCTTGGAGGTGTCCTTGACCTCGATCACCTTCAAGGCCAAGATTTGGCAGGACATCACTCTCACACGGCTAGCCAACGAATGAGTCTGATGCAGTGTCCTTAGCCGGAAATGGTTTATGATGAGGGAGGCGGATTAGACCTTAAAGAGCCTAAGATATGAGGCGCTGCTTTGAGGCCTGCCTTTTCGATGTGCTGCGCTGCCTTTTTCTTGATGCTCGCCAGGGTGCCTGACTGCTTGCTATGACTGCTATTCTGTCGCACATGCAGCATGTTGTCAGCAATCATCATCTCCATATATCTCCATGATTCGGGATGCCACAGCCCTCCCTGAGCATTGGAAATCCCACAGGCTGCCACCTTCACGATTCTCCCCAGCTTTCTCCAGCTGCTGCTCCAAAGTCTTCTGCTTTGCTTCTGCCGAGGTCCTGGGCATCAACTCGACAGTCTTGATCGATCCACGCTGTTCCCGCAGAAAAGTGCCAGCTACCTGGAGTTGCAAATACAGCCCATCAGGGCGCATGCCACCGATAACGCACGACACCACGCCAGGGGGCTTGAACTCCTCACGAACTCGCTGGGCAGCTTCCTTCTTCTGCTCGTTTGCTTGGCGGGCCTCTTCACTCAGCAGACTTGGGGACACATTCATTGTGGCGGCTCTGCGCAACTAAACATGCGTCTGACTTCGAGGCCTTGTCAGCACGCTGTTCCTTGAGAAGCGGGGCGGGATTGCGGGCACCAAGAAGTGTCCTGGGGCACAATGGTACAATCAATACCATCAGCTAGTTGAGTCCTGGAAGGCGCGACATGCACTGCTATCGGAAATCGAGGGCAGCTCCACAAACTAGCACAGATTCAAATCAAGTTGCGGCAGTTGGGTAGTTGGCTTCTTCTCGTACGACTCAAGACGAAGACGAGCAGCAGTCTTCAACCTTTGGGCAGGTTGGGGTATCCGACATGCTCGAATTTATGGCTGTTGCAAGCGACACACACAGACACACAAATACGAAGCCACACTTGGGCTGAAATCTGCTATAAGCAGATGCCGTGCGCTACGCCCATGTCCACTCCAGGAAACTTGTCGGAACCAGGGCTCTTGATCTGCACCTCCCCACGATATTCACAGGAAACTGTGGACAGCATACGTATAAAATACAATACGAGGCCCTGCAAAAGCGATCATAAGTCTGACGAATCCCTCATGCCTCGCCTCAAAGGCAGCACCGGATTCCTTCTCCGCAATGGTGGCAATCTCTGCTGGAGCCATGGCCTCTGAAGCAAATTGAACTTCGTGGTCAACCAAAGCAGAAGTGAGTCCTGTCCAGCCAGACGTCCACCAAACAGTCTTGACGGTGTAGGATGGTGCAGGCAAGTGGCAGGTGATCAGAATGCGAAGGCAGGTGCGACGCGATCACTTGAGCTTCAAGCAGTTGCTGCCGGAGCCAAGTTCTCAATCTCTCATGCTTGCAGAACTCATCAGCATGGTTGCCGCAGATTCCTCCCAAAGATGGACCTATCATGATCTTGAAATGTATGGATGGATGGATGGCTGGATGGATGGATGGATGTGAAGGTCGCTCTTATGGCCTTGTCTGTTGCCTTTGCACTGGCACTGACCTGAGCTGTGGGATCTCGTGATGGCATTCATGTCCGATGCAAGCAGACTTGACGCAGGTACGTGTGCACTCACTCCAGTGATCAAAGGAGTCTTGCTGAGTCGGAGAGATGCATCCTATCTGCAGCACTGCTACGTTTAAGTGGCACAAATTCAACTCAAACAACTTGGCTTTTGGCCAGGCTAGACCTTGACAACTATGATTTTACACTGGAGCCTTGAGGTCCAAAAGTGAACACGCGTGCCCAACCAACCGACAAGCCGGTCCTGTGTTCACATGTACCTCCCTGAAGGGACGTGGCAAGAGCATTATCAACCGTGAGCCTCACAAAGACGTACCCAAGACTGCGAGCAAAGTCAAGTGAGCAAGTCCTGGTCTACCTGGGCTGCCGGCAGGTTCGCTTACGCGCAGCTCCTCCAGGCTGGTTCTTTTGCTGGGTGGGGTGTGGAGCTATGCCACATCTGCGCGCACACATTTTGCCAGTGTATGTCCCTGCCTCCGGCACAGGCGAGGATGCACTCATGGCCCGGTGCGCTAACTTAGACCCCGTTATGCTTGATTGCTGTGATCAGTGTGGGCTTTGCTGGGTGAGGCTGGAGAGCTTAAAACGAATCCTACAGCGATGTGCTTGCCAATGTTTGCTTAGTTCAAGGTTCTATGACCATGAAGGGGTGGTGTTTCTATGGCATGTGCTCTTGTACTTGCCGTGTGGCCCTTGACGAAAGGAAGCTTCATGAACGGCGGCATCAGCTGAAGCACATCCATCTCTCTCTGCGGCATTAGCAGGAACAGCAACACGGTGATGAGCCGTTAATGTTCGTCCCTGCCTTGAACAACCTTGGCCTGGACTGCTGATTAGAAGTGACCCGAGTGGCACTCCATCAGTGTGGAGAATGGGACCTGCAGCTGCCTTTTGCCTTGCGACGCTTGCTCCGTGGCACTCACTTCACCTTCTCCAGGATGAGCACGTTCTCGTCATCAAACATATGATGCGCATCGTGGCCTGCAAGTGCAACGGTTCGACCATGCGCTGCTGCTTGTGAGATCTACGCTCCCGGCCGCAGTAGTGCATAAGCAACCGAGCTGAGTTCCCGGCAGTTCTTTGCAGCCTCGAAGAGTAGGCTAGGGTCACCTGTTTGCAGTCTTCTGCAACGAGCAAGTACCGACATCCAAGTGCTACGGACAATTCAACTGGATCCTGCATGCACAGATTCCTGAAAGAGCAGAGAGCCCTCCTTCTTGCAAGCTGATCCCATGCACCTCTTTCGCGAAAGAGAAGCCAGGCCTGATGCAATTAGGATACAACTTGCATATTCTGAATCCTTGCATCGTATTGCACAGCTCAAAGCCAGGCCTGTCTTGCGTTGCGAGCTGCATCCCGCATGCTGTTCCGCAACTCCGTAGCCTGCGCATCCAAGCATCACAGAAGCGTTCTAGCAACACAGCATGCACCAATTGCAAAACTCAACAGGACGCACACCCTGGCAAATAGCAGTTTCATCTCATCTGCGGCAATGTCGTTCCCAGTCTCCCGGAACAATGTCATTGCCTAAGTAGGCTCTTGCGTGTCACCCTTAGCCTGTCATCCTTAGCCACATTCTGGTGATTATTTGAGCTATAGTCTAAACTCCTAGTATCCCCCTTAATTATCCCTATACTCCCCTGTACAATCCCCTATACAACCCCCTTAAAGGGTTTAGACTATAGCTCATTTGGGAAGGGATGAGGCATGCTGAGGCAACAACCCGCCCTGCGGCCTCCAGCGCTCTACGAGGCTTGCGCAAGGCCAGCTGGCCTCAGGGAGCGATTAAATTTTAAACACCCCTTCGCACCTTTTCTAGGAGCGATTTAGAGTTTAGGGGTTGCGGGTTAGGGTTTATCAGAATGTATTGCTATCATTATTAATACTGTTGCTACTACTTCTATTCCTACCATTACTATCACTACTGTTATCATCATTACTATCACTATTCTACTATTAATGTAATGCAGTTTCCAATTACAGATTTCGCAGCACGAGCTTAATACAAATAATGATTGAGCTTGTACCGGTGCAGCAATAGCCAATCTGCATGTTCAGTTCGCTCGATGCAATCACTGGGCTGCCAACCACGGGTCACGGTACGCAACGCCAGAGCCTAAAAGCCCCAGTACAGCCACAACAAGCCTTGCATGACCGGCACAAACTGCCAAACAGAAACAGCTCTGCATGGAGAAAGCGTTGGCCTCGCGGCGCGGCCAGGCAGCCTCATGGCAGGTCTCCGCCAGCTCCTGAAGCTGCAAGTCAAAGGCTCATGGACGTTGAAAACCCAATCCATCCCAGCTTTTGAATGCGTTTGATACACTGAGACATGCAAGTGAGTGAGGCAGATTGCGCCCGCTCTCGGTACAGCACAGGGATGCTATCCAACTCGCCATCGTCAGGGCACTTTACCATACAACTCAGTGTGGCAAGGGCAGTTTTGGCAAGGCGTCCTCAGCTGATTGCGTCATGGCCTCAGCTCTTATCCATCTGGTCTTGCACAATCAGGAATCCGTCTCCTTTATGATAACTACTATTTATTATTACAAATTACAAACCCAATCCAGGAAGTCTGAAGGTAGCATGCTCTGCGAACAACTCAAAAAGAAAAATGAAAGCAGGCTCCTTGTATCAAGGCCAACAGACTTTCATTTAATTGTTGAGCTGCAGGCCTCGAAGTCTTTGCTCTGACGGCATATCCTGAAAGTGCGCCCTTCTTCCAGCCACGCTTAACGGAAAGCAGAAGCTGAGGACTCAACTCAGCCAGCAACTCCAGGGCTTCAGCCTGCATTGGGCCCAAAACCAAGCGGAATGCTGCATTTGTTGTTGTCTGTGCCTTGCACTCCCACTTCCTCGAACCGAGAAGCCTCTCAGAGGAGTTCCGCCTCAGCCGAGCCAAGCCATGTCCGATTAACGACAGGGTTTACAAACGTCTGTGTCGTTTGGCAGGGTGGTTTGAAGATTTTGCCGTGGGCAGCTGTATGAAACAGTAAACGTGCTTCTTGTTCTCATGCCCCCCCTGCTCTTCCTTTGAAGCACGAAGCCAAGCCCGCAACGCGGCCATGGCCGACTTCCGAGCCTGCAGAGAAAGAATGCATATCATTATTGTGGCTGTTACTAGCACTATTTTCAAAAGTACTACTATTATTGTTATCACTCCCCAAAAAAAGGCAAGGTCAGACTCAAATCGACTGGTAGCTGCCTCATCATGCATGTTTCCAGCAAGCTGTGCAGCGGCGGTGTGGCGGTAAGCCTTGCATGTTTCCGGAATCGATGTTCCATTTGGCTCGAATGGTATTCCAATGTATCCCATGAGTACCCCATGTAGTCCAGCGTGGAGAGAATATATGTAAGCAGTATGCCGCAGGGTGAAGCAACAACGTCAAGGCCGCATGTGCATGCAAGGGCAGCGTGCAGTGCATGGCAAGCTGAATCCGATTGAGAGCGCCTCTGCCAGGGACAAATGGTCGCCCTGCTGCTGCATTGCCTCCAGACCCTCTGATGCGATTTCGAGAGCCTCTCAGCCATTTACAGGACACAGCAGGCAAGACCATTGCCGATGCAAGGCCATTAAAGTCTGTGCCTACACAAGGTCAAGTGACCGCACAGAATTTCTGAACCACAATGAACCACACAACAATGACGGATGGTAGTGCCTTGTCAGCGTTGCCCAAGCAGATCTCTGCTTGAACAACGAGGCCGCGAACCGAAACCTGCATCTGATCGGATCTTGAAGATGAGCCTTCCCACTCCCACTTCAGGCTTACATTGATGCCCAAAGGTGCTTATAGCATAATACAGTTCTGAATGTCATGTTCCAAGGATTAATGCCCCCAGAGTCCTGCCTGCCCTGCCTGTCATGGCTCTCTCTCTCTGAGCTCCAGCTAAGGTGCATCGTGAACACAACTGTAAGCATCTGTAAGCTGAATGATAAACTTTAGGACATCAAGCCCGGCCTCGCGGGCTCGCTCTGATAGCGTATGCAGCAAGGCCTTGCATAACCCTCACACTTGCTGGAAGAGGCAGGCAGCTAAAGGAAGTGACCTGAGCTTGCGCCGCCAGGCGTCGAGCATCCACTGAGCGGCCTGCTTCCCTTGGACACAGGAAGCACCACTTGCAAAGACACTTCCACAAAGGGACAAACAGGAACAGCTGTGAGCATGCTGGTGAATGCCGAGGCTTTGGCAAAGCAGCAGAAGCAGCTGAATGCAAGGCAGCTGCCTGGCCAAAAAATTGTCCATGGCCGAAATGCGCCCATGCTTCTTAAAGAATGGCTGCTCGCAAATGCTAGCGAGACTTGCAGCACCCAGGAAACCCTCAGACCTGGCCTCGTTCCTTGTGTCGCCACAGGAGCCAAAGATCTCTGCCGCCCCTTCAGCAATGGGCACCACTAGGTGGAATTCCCGCCTGACCAGAGCTTTCGCATCTGCTGAAGCTGATCAATATCGGGATACTGCGCGCAGCACTGCCAACAAGTTCTTATCAAACAGCAACACGGGATGGAGTCAGTTAGCAGAACACTTGCTCAACTTTGGAGAATGCCACCAGCCAGCGCATTGAGAAATTGCTCCTCTTCCCCCCCATTGCAAGACTAGTATAGGAGAAACCGCTTACTTGGCTTACCCGATTGAAAGCCGTTCAGGCAGGGTGTTCCTCATGGAACGTACAACTATTCAGGGTTAGGCGTAAGGATTGAAATCATAAGATACTACAGCCCATTCTTCAATTTTAAATCATTTACTATGTCATCATAATGTTTTCCAAGTAACATTCATTAGCTCTCAAGACATTGACTGTCTGCGAATAATTTCCTCACGTGTCTACACAGCGTGTAAACTTCTGATGGGCCCTTCGCTTACTCCAATTTCTTGTATTCTGTGTCTTTTTCAAATAACTTCTTACCCTGGGATAACAAACTCGCCTAAAATGAATTTGAGATTCACCATTTACGTCTAAGACAGCGTCTGTCATGGCATCGCTGCGAAGAAGCTGAAGCATCCTCCAAAGAGAAGAATAATCATCTAGTTACAATTCAGGGATGTTTTGTCGACATTCCTTGTCATATTCTGGCCATGTTCCATCATGACAAGTCATCATGACTTGACGTTTTGAGAGTCGATATGTTTATACTGATGAGTGCACATAGTAACAGCCTAACGAACTGATCTAAGTGATATCCATTATGCGAGAACATTCGGACATGTGAAGCGTGGCGTGTGCACTCGACTCACTCGACACCTTTGCAACAATGGAGCCTACACGTCATAACATGTCAGAAGACATTCCATATACATGTATACATATATACATATATCGATTTGATGAGTGAAGAAACATGATATGCACAAGAGCAGCAAGTATGAACTGTTGCTTCTTTACCTGCGCGAGATTTGGCGGCTGCAGGCTCAACCGGGAGCAAATCCGTGTCGGTACACAACCTAATTCGGCAAATATGACGTGCTTGTATGACAGCGGTATGAAATTCAGGCCTAATGTCCATGTGGGATCCTGTGTAGATTACAAACGGAGGGCATCAAAGAAATCAATCCGTGATGTATGAAGGTGGCACAGAAAAAGTGGAGCGGGATCTTAAATCGTGCCATTCAATAACATTAAACAAGATTCTGGTAACACAGGTCGACTTCCAGCAGAACAATAGTAGGGCAGAAAAGGAATTGCTTCACCTGTCCTGTTGAAATTGAGACATTTTCTGAACCACACTTAATTTGTAAGATTCGCGAACTGTTTACATGGTCTGTTCACTGTTAGCACGTCTCGAAGAATCGTCTGCACTATCACGGTATCATGTGTCTCATCATGTAACCCTTTGTTAACTTTTCTAGGAGGAACACCTCGCCGCTTTAGTAATAACAATAATAAGAGTAGTAATAATAATCATAGATTGATCATCATATTATTAGTAGATCGGTCATAATACTAATAATACTAAAATCTGGATATTGATAATAATGATAACTAATATTATTCGACTTACGCGCCTTCAATCAGGTAAATAATAACTCCTATGCCGATCTTTTACTTGAGAATATGGGGGGGGGGGTATAGTTGGGTGGCTGGCGGTGCTATGGCCAATCGGACTAGGGTTCTGAGAACGAGGTCTTGCCTGATCAACCGCCTTGATATGAACCTTCTTGGATTACTGGCTCCTGAGCCGTCTGAGACCCATGGCAATATCCAAAGTACCGAAAACGAGCAACTGCAATGGCCTGGCGCTTCGCACCTGGAGCAGCAGTCGCTAGAAGCCCCGCGGGCGATCAACAAGATCCTTCCTTATCATTACAAGATGCTATCCTAATAGGTAGGCAGAGAGATACGTGTGGATCTGGTGTTTTCGCCGTACTGCTGGGCAAAGCGGCCTCGGCCAGAAGAGCTAGCGCCACCGCCTGGCATAGGAACACAGACACAAAAGAATTCGGCGAAATTCTGCTACTTCGAGTGACGCCACCCTGTCATGTGGTGGTGAACCGCCAAGATAATTTTCATGTTTCAGCTTTTGGACAAGTCTCAAGAATTGCTGCGTAGAGACAACCTTAGATTTGGCTCTGCAGCGCAGAGACACTGTCGGATTCAGGACTGCAGATACACTCTGGGGATGGGCACTGCATGGACACTCTTGCATTGGGCACTGAAGCATTGCGGTAGAAACTCCACCAAGATGAGTCGCTGGGTGAGAAGAAAATGTCTTCTCAAAATCAACAAGCCCACAGCAAGGGGGGATGAACACGACAAGGACAGGCCGCAACAACAGCTGCCTCGTCTCGACCGTCACCAGGGTCATCTCGACAGCTGGCTACGTATGCCTGTTGCCAATCCCAGTTTGATACTAACAGCTTGATAGTGGACAGCAGTTCTCTCTCTGCTCTCAAAGTTGTACAGCTGCCTCCGCGTCGTCCAGCGCACGGGCAGTGTCACCACCTGAAAAAAGGCAATGCAAATCCAGAAACAAACCTGTGACCTTCAAATCCAAACGAGTCCTGTTTGGGTTTTGAAAGCATGCATGTGTCTGCAAGTTGGGGTCCACGCGCGCTAGTCGAGCGCCAATGGCCGTGCGCTCAAGCATTGAAGCTCGCCTGTTCACAGGACAAAGCCAATTCAAGCAGAGTCTCAACAGTCCGGTATCCCGTCATATCCGTATTAAGTTGTCGTTCCATCTAGGCATAGAGGCAGAAATGGGCCTATGAACAGACACTGGAGCAAAGTTTGCCAAAGTCGCAGGCTGCAATTGTGGCGTTGCTTAGCGCCTGGAGTCCCCAAGGCGTCGGAAGGCATCCCGACCCTCGATGGCATGCCGCAGGGCGGCCTCAGGATCCTGATTATCAGAGGGGGAATAGGAGGTACATAGGGGTTATATAGGGGATATATTGGGGTTATATTGGGATACTGGAAAGGAAAGTGGAAACTACTGTTTAGGGCACAATGAGCACAAAATAGTTCATCGGAGACGCACTCTGCTTGAAGGAACCGATTGTTTCTTAACATCGGGCTTTACGTTCCATGTTCTCAAATACCTTCGATCTTGCAATTACTTCGGCCAGAGGCCAGAGCAGCAAAACCCCAGCCCACCTCTCTGAGCAGTGACTGGGCAAGAACCTGAGCTGTTGCTCCTTGTGTTTAGCTGGCCTTTGGTTAGCTGGGGTGGGAATCAAGGAATGAACAGAAAGACTACAGGGTTTAGAATGGAAAAGGAAATGGAAACTACCACAAGTATGATGGGTTATATGGATGCTCCTATTTTTTACCGAAGAAGATGACGGAGCTTTAACGTCTGAGGCTTTCGCGTTAAGTGTGGCGGCTTGGCCAGCAGCGTGGCCAAGCGACCGAAAGCGATGAAGCGACTCCTAGAAGCTGGCCGTGGTTAGCTAGGAGTGAAGGAATGGATCCTCATAGTAGTCACTATATTCCCAGCGAACCAAAGGCCAGGAAGGCTGAAACAAATCCAAAACAGAATGGCAGTCTGTCTAGCCAAAAAAGGAAGTCTACAAAGCTCCACAGCCCTTCTAACAAGGGCCTGGCCTGGAATCATGCACGCACATATCAAGAAGCGGCACATTCTAAATTCACCAAAAGAACAATTTGGCAGCGTGCTCATCTTAAACATCAAACCCTAGACCTACAGACACCATGGAGAGTCAGCGCATGGATGTGCGCAAGGTTCGTGATACATCCTGAACCCATATGCCCTGGCACCCCCCAATTTCTGTGCCCCTTGAATCCTTAAAATCCCCTATGACCCTACACCCCTTGACCCCAATCTTCAAAGTAATTAGTCGCCTCCGCTGCTTGGAAGGCTTCGGCAAAGCTGCTTCGAGCCAGGTGGGCCTGGCAAGTTGGAGGCTCAGTAGTAATAGTAGAGTACTGTTAATCGTACTAATAATATTCATAAGAATAGAACGGACAGTATCAATAAGGATACGAATGAAGTCGTAGGAATACAAAGCACTCATCTCTGCAGAATAATTTTGGAGAAGTGTACCCAGCAGAAAGAACTTTGAATGAGTTTCAAGACAGTTTATGCTGGGAGTCTTTCGCTCCATGCCAACAGTGCAGCCTTGGCCAGGACATGCAGCGCCGCCTTGGATCAGCTGAACCCTCATAGCTGCAGGCAAATGCGTGAGGCGGCTTAGCTGCAGACAGCTTGACCTTCCCAATCTCCACTGTCCTGATCAGAAACTGAACTCGAGGACATGCTTTCCATAACCCAAGAAACAAGTCCACTGATAAGCCCCTGTCCTGCAGTTGATTGAATGCCTCCCTCGCCAGACGGACTGCAGAGTCGTCCTGACGTGCAGGGATGCAAAATCTCCTTTAGCCCTATCTTCGAAGCTCAGGCGGAAAAGAGCCAAACCGACTGAAGCTTGGCAGGCGGTCCGGGTTCAGCGACACGCTGTTGGCTTCTTCCTCCACACCGCTGCATGTTCTGCGGCCCATGCACTCGAGCTCGTGCCACTACACTGCAGCTCGGGAGCAGAGCTCAACTTTTCCCAGGTCCAGCGACTTTGGCCCCAAAGACCATCTTTCCGGTTGGTAGGCTTTTGATCACCGAATTCATCTACAGTCCTCCCAAGATGGAAGTTTTACCCAACGCTGCAGAAAGCTTTTCAGGGAGAAACATGTTGGTGCATTAACGTTGACTGCTCGACGGGTCCGCATGATGCATGCTTCAGTTTGTAATCCAATCCACAAGGTGCTTCTTGGCGCCAAGACCTCCATGCCTTTATGCTCAAAAACTACCAAGGTCGGCTCTGTCCAGACAAAAAACATCAAATGCTGGCAGCGGCACAGGAAACAGTCTTCTTGCAACATGAATTCAGCCAGTAGATAGGCTGCGGCGTGAAAACTGGGAGGCAAAAAGGGACCCCGCAAAGCCGACAAGGCGGTCTTCTTGGGGAAGCGGCCAAGCCCTGATCAAACTACAACATCTCATGCCTGCAGCCCAGAACACCTTGTTGGATGCTCTAAACACGTGTACTTACTCACCTCTACTCCTCAGACTAGCTCTGCATTCTTGACTCAGAAGTCAGGAACATGCCCAGCTTTCAGGGCCGCAGAGCGCAAGAGCTCCTTGTAAGCCTTGGCAAGCGCATCAACAAAAAGCAAGAGGACCACGCAATTAAATGTAGCAGCTAGGGCACTTCAACATCCACTGTTCTGTGCCTGACAGTGCGGTCCTTGGGAGACATTGGCACCGATGCAGTAAGCCTCCTGCCTCAAGCCAGAGCTGCCTTTTTTGAACAAGCTGAATGACTTCGAATCCTGGATGCCCCCTAGGACGCTGCAGCAGGAAACCAATGATTAGCAGATTAGCATTGCTGCCTGCGCCTACAGGTTGCCTTCCTGCGCAGGCATGGAACTTTTTTATTACAATTTCTGAGCTGAGCATCATCCAATCCGCTCGGAAAACATGCATCACTGAAGCCAGCAGCATGGGCATGTGCCACATCCTCGAGGATCAAACAAAAACTGCCTTTCATTCTGCAGACCGTCGAGCGCACCCCTATCTTGAGTCCTCGAAAGTAAGCTTGCCGGCTGCTGCGCGCTCCTGGCTGAAATGATGCCGTCTGACTCAAGATTGGACTGGTTCGGCTCCACCTAATGTAGAAACCTCGCAAGCCCAAGAGTCCTCACGATCCTTCGCCGCCCTGGCCGCGGCTTCCTGCGAAAGTCAAGCACTCACTGAGAAGCCTGAGGATTTTTCCCAAAAAATGCAAAGCTTCGCATAGCAATGTCTGGCATTTCTGGACCCAGAGATGACCGACACCCGCTCCTCCTGACGACGTCGAGCTGCTGCCTGCCGGCTGCGCTGCGCTGGGGATGGACCTTTATAGGGCGAAATTGGCGACCACCCTATGAAAGTACGAGGTAAAGTCATGACTCCGAAACGGGAAGTCAGCATGGAGTCCACGTGACAAAACGTTTTGGAAGATGCAGGCAGGTGACCGCCACAAGTGCGGCAGAAATCCTTGGTGAAATTTGGTGAAGGCACTAGTGAATTTGCGACATGCGTTCAGGCATCCCCCCTTTGTGTGCCTGCTACCCGACAATTACATGGTAATTGTCGCGGCTGAAGAAGATAACATCCGCTAAGTTCATGCAAGCATCGGTCTCATTCCGCTCTCGGCTGCCACAGGAACCTCGTGCCAGACTCTTGTGCTATCTGTATGCACATCAGTCCAGACAGGGGAGAATGGTTTGCAGATATTGCAGAACAATACACATCATGCTGAAATATTTCCTGGAATCTCCAGAATTCTAGAAGGCTTCCTGTTCTTCATCCGACCGCATTCAGCCTTCTGAGAACATCTGGACAACTCCTACCTTTCCAGCCGGCTCTGAAGAAGTGAATCCCCGTGGCCTTCCCTTCTCAACCATAGGTTACCTTTATGTTCCTTTCTCAAGCTGAGAAACAGGACCACAGGCCGGGTGGCATCGGAAGCACGTAATGATCCTCCAGGCACGCTCTAGTATCTCACTTCCAATTCCTGACACCGAGCCCTGGGATCCGCACAATCAGCGTTCAGTGCTGGGAGCACTTGGGTGCGACCAGCCCATTCTCAAGAAAGTGCAGAGTAGGCTCAAGTCTCGCAGCTCGACGACGAAAAGAGAAGAGTGAGTCGGACGAAAGAAATGTGGAAGGGCGACATTAAGTCGGATGAAAGATTACGAAACAAAAGGTGCGAGTCGGATGGAAGGGTGAGTACAACAGACCAGATATCAACTTCATGCTGCACAGATCTCGACAATATATGTAGTGTCCCAAGTCCATTTGAAAGAACACACTACAGTCCATAGGGCAAACATTATCTCTCTTTGAAGCACGAGTGCTCTTTAACTTGAGCATTGGATCTAACTGGAAATCCAAGAGTTTGGAGACAGGCACGCTTGTCGAATCTCCAGTCTTAACAGGTCGCTTGTGAAAAATCTAAACTTTAATGGGTTCAGGCCTAAGATACCAAGGAAGAACGCGGATTTGACACATTACACGTGCGCCTCATTTCCCATTGTCACTGCTTGCTCTCAATTACAAAGCAAGAGGGTTAGGTTCAACAATGTGTCGAAAGTCGAAAATGGAGGGCAGGGGGGGGGGGTCTGCATATGTCTCTGACAGATATCTCCGTTTGAATGGTGTCTCATAATTGCAAGACGAAGACAGCGAGTTTAGCCTGTGTCCCTTCTCGAACCTCCCTGCCACTGCAATCCTCTAACTGCAAGGGAAAACAGGGTATCAGCATGTCACTTTTTAATTGAACTTCCCATCAACACTGCATTCCATGAAGTGCAAGGCGACAAGGGGACTTGAAAATGAGCTTCTCACTGTCTTCCTTGAGTTGCAAGGCAAAAAGGGAATGGTTTTGACACATGTCTCTACTTGAACCTCTCTGGTAACGTTGACGTCAGTTCATAGTAGGGTTTCCTTGCATCACTGCTTGTTTACGTCTGCTGCGCAATATAGAGAAGAATAGTCCACGTCTCTGCTAGAATCTCATGTTGTTCTTGTGAATGCAAGGCAACCAATGAGTGATTTCAAAATGTTCTCCTACTCTTTCAAGCTGAGCGCGGTGGTTCTAAGACTTATACATAAAAATCGATGTTTCTGCTTGAATGACTGAAAGGGCCCTATTTGAATCATGTTGTGGTTTTAATATGTCTCTATTTCAGTTTCTTTGAGTCATGTCCCTTTCTTTTGTTGATTGACTCGGCGCTCTTTGGGCTGACAAATTCATTTGACTTGCACCTTATTTCTCGTCTGACTGGCACTTGGGCACTTGACGAGTACCTCACTGTTGTTTGAGTTCATCTGACATGTGCTCTCTCGCATTTGACTTCGTCCTCTCTCCGCAACGTTGTTAGGATGTTGAGTTGAGGCACAGCATTCGGGCGCAAGCCATCAATTCCTCGCAGTCCTGTCGGAAATCGCCGCTGGAGACTTCTGGTCGAAATCTCCTGGGCTCCATTCGGTACTTTCCATAAGCTGGGAGCATTTCACCCTTCCCGAGAAAAAATGGTACTGTAAGTAGACATTCGGACAGAGTGCCTGCGCCCAGGTTTGAGAAATCACCTTTTGACACCAGCTGATGCCTGAGACCTAGGCCTGCGGTTTACATTACATGCCAACCTTACTCTGTGTCTTCGGCCTGCGTGGGCAGGGTGGCGGGCATCCACCCCGTGAGTTGATTCAGTGTGTCCATGACGGAATGATCAGATTTTCAGAGAAGCCCAAATTGCTCCCCATAATGACGATGGTTTCGGCGACATCATGATCAATCCTTCCTGGCAAAGTGTAAAGGCTGCTCGCAAGCCAAAACACACCGGATAACAGACCTTGCACTATGGCAAGGGCACACCTTATGACCGTAAAATGCAACCCGTGAACTTTCCTTACGTACGGCGCCGCATAGCTTGCCAAGGATCAATGGCGCTTTGGCCAGAAAGTTCACATCGCGCCTCAGTCCAACGGGACCATGGCAGTTATGCACGGGCTGCCTGAAGCTCCCATCTCGCCCTTCAAATAACTTGAAGCTGGCCTTCTCTGAAAAGGCGCCAACTACTTTTTGATAGTTCGTTGTCAGCATTTGCCAGCAGCATCTGAACTATTGAGCTCAGTCGCGGCCACACATACGCGCCGAAACGAAAGTCGCCGCTTGCCTGCCAAAGAAAAGAACAGATGCAACAGCTTTGCATGCTGCTAACACGGCTGTAACAATGGATGCAGTGGCCTGCCTTTGGCGGCTTTGGTGCGGTTGGCGGCTGCGCCGTGTATTGACGGAAGAAGCCAAGCATGCCAAAAGCACCAAGCTTGCAAAGCAAGGCATTTGAGCCACTGACAGCCGCCACAAGGGAATGGACACAGCTGCGTCTGCACCGCTGTACATGCTTCCCTTCTCCTTCTTAAACGCTCGAAAACTTTAGCTAGAGGCAGGGTGCGCAATTCGGTGTGAAAAGGGGTGAAGCATGGCTACTGCTCCTTTGCTGACAAATGCCGAGGCTACTCTAAGAGGCACCCAGGCCAAGGTCAAGCCACTGGGGCAAACGGCAGAACCAAGATATCTGCCCTGCACAGACTTTCGGCATGGGCTTGGTCTTCCTCCCAAAATACCCCAACAAACTTCCTGACTAAAATTGGGAATCCCCGAAGGTCCCTCTGCCTGTGCCGCGGCCGCATCGGCATAGGCCAAAAGCGCTGCAGACTGCAAGGAGACGCTTGGCTATTTTGTTGAGATGTGAACCTGATAGATCAAAGTTTGCGGATCTGACATACTAGAATTACACAAAAGAGCTATATCAAGGATAAGCACTGGTCAAACTTGCATTTCACATGGTGGGACTGGGCAACCTGTGGATGTTGATCTTGCAAGGCATGTACACCAAATGGACAACTGAGGGGCCTCATTTCATCTCATTTCCTACCATTGGGTGCAGGGCATTGAGCGTAACTGGTCTTTCGAGCCTGCCCTAAACCTCAAGTGCTGCCAGGCACAATCCAGTTGGACTTTGTTGCGCCAGCCGGTTTGCACTTCTGACTGGACAATGGCTATCATCATTTTGGGAAGACATGCCGCGCCTGTGCTTTCTGATCACCAGAGGCCTTGGCGAAAGCTCTCTAATCCCATAGCAAGCGGCATGCGACGCAAACAGTGCTTGCAGATTTGAGCTGGGGTTATACAAAGAAAGTTTCACCTGTTCTCCGCCAAGCAGCTCTGGACTTTTCAAAGTGGGCCTGGCTTTGGCAAACAGCAGGTGCACAGCATTGCCTTGGAAGCTACACAGACGCCCCACCTCAGCCTGTTGCAGTGCTTCGTCGGCATCGAGGTGGAAGCCAAAGAGCACACCGTCGAAGAGACCACAGCTGAAGCAAGGCTGGAACAGCAAGAGCTGCGCAAATCCACAGTGAAACCATCGCCTGCCCCTGCACATGGCTTCAGGAAGGTCGTCTGCAGCAGCCTGGATAAGTTTGCGTTCGCAGGCATCTGCAGTCCGCAGATCCGACAAAGAGAATCGTACCCGAGCAATCCAACGCTGGCCATGACGTGTCGTCGCTCTTTTTCTGAGGCAGCAAATGCCGAATATGCTGTCCGCTGCACACACGACTTTTACATGTGTTTGAGACTCATCTGCCGCACCGTTGGAGACAGACAGAGACAGAGAGAGAGAGAGAGAAACAGATAGATAAGGAGGAATAGTGGTGGACGGCTCAAGCACCGAGTTGGAAACAGGTCTCAATGACCCAGCACACCCTCCCAACAGGCAGCTGCTGAATGTGGGGTCTGGCCAAGCTTTGTGGCCTCAACTGTGTTGCGTCGCTAGTTTAGACTGCTTGCCATGAGTGCAAGAATGGATGCTTCTGACTTTGAGAAGCCTAGCAATGAAGGAGCAGTGTCTTTGATGTTCAAGTCCTCGGCTTGTGGCATCCAGGTAACTGAGAATCCATGATAATCCAGAAGCCCATGCTCAGTCTGCTTCTTGATTGTCACTCCAAGGCTCGTCGGAGATGCCTTTTGGACCATACACCGAATAGAGCAAGCATCGATCGAACTCGGAGAGGTTGGGGACCGCCGCATGCCTGAACGCAGTTCACGGCTCGCACGGCTCGGCTGCTCACGAGGCAGTCCGCAGCTGAAGGTGGAACCCTGTTAGCTGTTTGTTGCCTGGGTCTTATGTTCCGCATGCTGCTTGCTTGCAGGTTACCTAAACCAGCTGTTCATCTCTGATTTCCACTGCTTCTTAAGAGTCACAGTGGCTTTGCGCTAGGCCTCGTTCCGTCCTACACTTAATGAGCAGGGCATGACCCAACCCTTCTCATCCACCTGACTTGAGTACCTTTGGTTAGCTGGAAATGAAGGAATGGAAAAGAATATATAGGGACTACTATGAGGATCCATTCTTTCATTCCTAGTTGACCAAAGGTAAGCTGAGCCCCAAGCTTTGCAGAATACAGGAAGAGGAGCATCTCTCCAGGCCGCAGCGCTGCGGCCACACGCTCCGATTCTCCAGCAGCTGCCTGGCCACTCGATGGAGACTTAAGACAACAGGGTTTAGCTAGCACCATGCGATTTTGCAAGATGCTGAATTGACAGAAGTTACATGTGGTCTGGATCAATCGCAGCACTCCGTCCGACCTGCCTTGGGCTCTCTGGCAGACTCCGAGTCTTCATCAATGGCGCCCAGCTGGGTAAAGGGCTGCAGACGAATGAAGCCTGCGCAGCTTAAAGCGTTGCGAAGCAACACCCATGATGGTTTGACCTGGCTGATTCCCATTTCCGTCTTGCGTTTGCGTTTGCAATGCATAGTTCCAAACTCTGCGCCTGCAGAGCACTCTCTAAGGGAAAGACTTCCGCCGAGGCCAAAAAATCAAGTGA